AAGCATGGTATAAAACCGGGCGCACGACCAATCAGAGTCAAGCATGGTATAAAACCGGGCGCACGACCAATCAGAGTCAAGCATGGTATAAAACCAGGTGCAGAACGATCCTCCAAGTTGTTACAGCATGCACAACCACCTTCAGCGTTCTCCCGTTTCTCCCTTCTTAGCTTGCTTGCTTGCTCTCCATGGTTATGTTCTCCTGTGCCCTCCAACCCCTCCCGACCTTCCAGCATACAGATCAATACCTGCAACAGGATTTGCAGACGCTGCCATAACTCCTGAACGGATAGAACGCACCACCTTCTCCCATCCGTCCATACAGCATCAACAGAAACGTCGGGAGAGAGGGATTTTTTCAATGGCCATGTCGACCACACCCCCTCTCGCTGCCACGCAAACCAAACACGTCCCCCACGGACGAGCTCACTAAGTCCAGCAAGAAGGACACAAGTAGGCGTCCCTCACAATGCACAATCAGACAAACATTTTGACATGATTTTGCAAGGAACGAAACCATATCATGCGCTTAGCTCGGGTGTACTCACAGAAACCTGGCGTCCATGTCGACGATACCCTCAGGAAACGACTCACGAAACTACCGCTGCTCCACTTTCTCCTATTTCCTCGGTTGGTACGTTCACACCCAGTCCCTTGCTGTGGGTATGGCGCTGACACAGAGAAAAGCATCGAACTCTGTCATTGTTTCTTGGAATGGCTATGGCTCAGATTTTCCTACTGAACGTGGTCATCTTGATTAACAGCAGCCATAAAACCAAAACCACAAGCTTCCTTGCTCAGCGCTCCAACAGTCTCAGCTCTGCCATCCCCTCGCGTCTTGTCGGTGAGTACCAGATGACAAGCTTCGCAGCACCCATGGATGCTAAGGCAACATCAACACCATACGTTGCCTCAAGCATCCGTGCCCTTCCAACACGCACAGGATCTAATCCGAACCTCGCATCCACTCTGGCGCGAACAGGACCTGCAACTTGTTGTTGCATCGTTACGGCAAGCATCGGATACCCTCTTTGATCCATACCTTCGCTCTCTAAGCTTCTGCTGCGCTTCTGTGCCTGCTCTTGCCCGCTTCGTCCGACATCCAGATCGTTTTCCCCCACAGCATTTACTGACCTTGCAGCTGCTGCTGCAAATGCAGTTGCTGCTCCCATGTCCACCCGGAAACCAACCGATGTGTGGTCAAGGAAAGGCCGTTCAAACGACCCAAACTGAGCAGTTGCCCCCAGTGATGCAAATAGGTCTGCAGAAACTCTATTACCAGCCAATGGCGCCAGCGAAGCTGGCACTAACTGCAACTTATGAACTGGCCTGCCAAGAACTGCTTGGGCAGAGTCCACTGCCCAAAGGCGCATGCTCACCAATCCACCTGCAGCAAGGTGCACACCATAGCATTGCACAAACATGCACACACACAAACATGCATCCGTTCAGGTCTTCGAACAATCCACGTCTCAAAGACTCCCCATCTCTCTCTCTCTCTCTCTCTCTCTCTCTCTCTCTCTCTCTCTCTCTCTCTCTCTCTCTCTCTCTCTCTC